TATATTAATATAAACATTTTGATTTGCAGACGACAATAAAAACATCGACTGAAGAAATACAACATAAGACGGACATTGAACTTAACGTCAAGTACGCCTCTGAATGCATTTTACCATGCGCGGTTAACGTTACGTCTGAAGATGACATCATTATAGACATTGTTTTCAGTGTAAGTATTAATTGATTTATTTTTTATTGACATGTATTTGATTGTTTCTAACTCGTACCATTATTTTAGTCAGCGGTCGAGCTTTATTGGGTTTGTTTATATTCGGAAGAAAAGTTAAACATCATTATGGAACGTAACTTGAAAATTGAAACATTTCCAACTGGTGTAAAACGGATTGATTATGAACAATTTACTTGTCGCACTTCAAGACATGCAATTTATTAAGCAAACGTTGTTGACTTTGTTATGCCATTTTGTAGTTATTGTTTACTATTACGCGTTCTATTTATAACTACATCGGCCATCAGTACATAACCTTTTGCGAATACACTTTACTACCTGATGCGATTCTAACTACGCTTTGGCCTTTTGTTGTCCCTAATGATATTGTTTGTTGAGAAATATTATCTAATTCTGAAAACTCAGCTGCTTCTGCTAAGTTTAATTCATTAAGCACCATAGGTGACATTCAAAATCGCAGAACCGATACTCCCCCATTGTTTTTCGATTATCCTACAAAGAAAGGAGAAACACCGTACCGATCAATATGTGGAATTGATATTGTCACTACAACTCCTCTTCAAAATCTCTATTCATCGCTTTAGTCTTGGATATAAGTCGTTCTCGTTCAGCCATCTTGCATGTCAAATTACATGGTTCATATACAGTATACAGTGTGTAACGAAAAAACCGCCTTCCGAAAATTGAACATATTTTGTAAAAAAAACAAGGGTGGTGTTGTTATTGATGACAAACGCGTCTTTATGTTTGATTACTCCCCATGTTAGTAAACGTATTCAAGTAATAATTATCGTAATTAGTCCCGTTGTTCTCCCCCTTGTCCTTTGCAACCATAGAGAGACTTGAAGTTCAATGACAAACAATTATCATTATTGGCTTGATGGCGTCCAAACCTGAAATAAAAGACCAATATTCCTTATCGCATCGAAAACATGTGGTATATTGTCAAGAATAACGTCTCAACATGGATGCTAAGAAATAAAACAATTTATGACTGAAGAATGAACGCAATTTCAGAAACGACTATACAAAATTAATTTCATCAATGAAAAAAGAGATGTGGGCTTGTTTTGCAGAAAAATGGCGATAGAATTTTTTATTGAAAATTTTACTGCAATAAAGCACATTATAAGCTTTTATAAAAAATTGGAATTGTTTAAAAATTTTGCATGGCCATTGAATTATGGCATATTTATGATAGCGGTTTTTTTCGTTACACACTGTAAGAGTTACATAAAAAACCAAGAATGAACAAATCAATAAGCACCTTTCACGATGGCTTGTCTCGGCATTAATATAACGTAATAAAATGGTGCTTAGCCAAAAATGCTATAGAGTTAATTACCAGGTTCGATATTAATTAAACAAGGTTTATCCATCTTCGAAGCTTCTCCTTTCATTGACAATTTGGCTCACGTTGACTCCAGGATTGTTTTGAAAACGTTTACCATTCCGAAAGCTTTTCGTATTTCGTTTAGACTAACTCCCGAGGGGGAAAGTCATCTCGTACACAGAAGTAAAGAATCGGCATGCTTATAAGCTGATTCTATGGAATTGCATACCATACTCAGCACAGGAAAAAGTCTCTGTAATTTCGTTCTTCCGATTTATTCACTTGTCTGAGAACATGACGATCTTTTTTTGTTTCTGAAAAAGGAATTTTACATAAAAGAATTAGTAAAAATTCTGATATACAACATTACAGCATTAGGTGGTGATTACAATTGACGTCTAATTTACGAGCGCTTCTAATTTTGCCCATTCCCTTCGCCAGCGTTCCAACCTGGTTATCCATCTCTGCATCAATTCGTTAAAGCCTTCATGTGTCTCGTAGACTCTAATCTCATTTGATGCATTGAGAATATACTTCCTCGGTACATCTGGTGGTACGATCTGGTTGCCGAAAAACGTTTACTAACAGCTGCTGAAATTCTATTTATATTCGTCGCCAGCCCGTCAAATATTTTTTTTATTATCCAAAAAAAAAAAAAAAAAAAGCAAAAAGAAAGATATCATTAACAATGAATCACAACTGTTAATTTTTTTAAAAAAAAACAATTACCGCTAATGTCATCTTCACTGTCGGAAAAGTTCCTACAGATCATTCACAAGTTTCTCTAGCATCTGCAAAGTGTTTTAGTATAAATTTGATAACAACTTCAATATTACGTTAAGAGATTTCTTCCATTTGGTCTGAAGCTTCTCGCCTGCAAATTTAACTGTCCACAAGACAAATTCAATCCACAACAACATACAAAGACACATCACTGCAAATGTCACATAACTCTCCCGATGCAAAACCACCTTCGCTTCTGCACATTATGTTAGTAGATCAGATTGATATTACATAACAAGAATGCAGCTACCCCTCATCGCTGTTATGGATTATACTTTACGTAATGATTTAGGATTATTCCCGTACTTGATATATCGACAATGTTTTTTTTCTGATCTCTGTAAAATATTTAGTTTGACTGAATAATTTACATACAACATATACAGTAAAATCTGTCATAAGAAAAATGTGGTTCTTGTATCATCCCATTGTAAACATAAAGCGCGCTCATTCCAAATCAGTCCATATTTCCACTTCTCACGAAGTATTCTGCCAATTCTAAAATTTGGCAAAAACTGTCCATTGTATTCCGACGTCGCGCTCACCCACGGGAATTATATTAATGATGACTATCGTAGCAGGCGTCTTTAGTGTGTGAAGCCGGAAACAGAGCGCCCGAAAATAACTGGTGATACGACCCGTCACGAAAACTTCCACAATCAGGTCACAGCATATCGAAGATTCTCCTAAGGAGAAGCTATACCGAGCCATCCTAAAAAACGTTTAACCCTCAGCAGTCCATTATCTCTATGTGTCCTTACGTACCGGCATCGATTCTGTTTGGTCAGAATCGGACAAACTTTGAGCAGACACTTCTTACCATTGACTTAATGTGATTTCAAAGTTGTTCACTTGTACTGTCTTTACACAATGTAACGACGTGGCACCACATATACACCATTCATCACCAAATCGGTAATTCGAAAAGACATCGAAGTGTCTTGGTCGACCGTACGATAATCACCCGCCTTTAACAGAGAATATTCGATGTAATAGGACCTGATCTTCAAGTTGCATGAAGCTCAAAAACCGCTTTCCTATTCCAATTACAAATAATAATTCACAAAAAATTATAAGCTCAGCGGAAGTTATGATTTTGGTAGAGAAAAATAAATTCGATGATATATATGTATAAAACGCTTTCATCACACTTTTCCTCTTCCTCCTATTACCTGTCCCATCGCAGCCTGTTCTTTGCCTTTCTCCCCTCCCATTCTGCTCCACGTCAAAATAACCCAAATCATATTTGGAGATACGTTCTACTCCCTAAAACTTATGGATCCGTTTTTGATGGTCAGCACAAAGAATTACATACCTCCTCTTTCCATATTTCAACTTCTTTAACGCTACAATTTTTCACTCCAACAAATGCAGACAGTATTGCCAGCGACAAACCAGCATCCCTACTACAGTATCAATAGTCATATCATATCAACGTTGGAAAATAGTCCGAGGCAGATGTCCCAAGCGGCATTGACCCAAAATTCGCCGAAAACGGCAATATAAACTCTTCTACAAACCAGCCAATCAAGCGATAGAAGTGATAGGCCAAAAAAGACAAAGCCAACATAGTCACGAGAGATTTTCCTTTATGTGCACTTCCAGCATCCATAGGCGAAAACGTCAAAGTAATTGGGAACCAAATGCATTGGCTTTCGAATTTCCGCTCCTGGCTCGAACGAGTTTAGTTGGCTCTACGACACCTTCCTTCCAGTCAGTTGGCTGAACCTCCTCGACCGCTTGGTTGCCTGTTTGAATTGTAAACCTCCTTTTATGTCACCCGGATCATACGTTAGAATCGGTCAGAGAGAGAGCTTGGATGGTTATGATGCATCTACTTTACCCGATTTTCAAGATGTTATGATAATGCTTTGTATCCACCCCGCTGAACTTATAACTTTATGCATTACAGACTCTAGAGTAACGGGTTATGCGAAGAACAGAGGTCAGCCAGATATTGCTCGAAAATTTAGATCTATGGAAAAGAATCACGAACGAGCCAAAGAATTACTAACCTGGATACAGAATTCTATATCTTCTGGTCGAATGGGTGGGTGAATGGTTCAATAGATTCTTAAAAGACTATGATTTAATTCCTCGCCATTTGCGTAAATTGGGAGCAGTTTATGGCGCTGTAGTACAAAAAGCAGACATATTATGACAGAATGTTTACGTCACAACATACTTCCCCAGTTCAAATATAAACTATAGGAAGCGGGACAAACACCTGAAGAAGCAAGACCATTCCGACTTTCTGATGACGATAATTAATCACGCTTCTTCACTTTTACCATATCCACAGTAAAATCTTTATCATTAGACGATTCAGAGTCAGACCCAGACCCAGATTCATATGAAGACGAGGATGAAGATGAAAATGCTGTATCACTTAAAAATCTCTTTTTTCTTTTAGCTTTAGATAGTGTACGATTTCTTCGAGAAATATCGGGAGTTTACTATCAAGTTTAGCGATGACTTAAAATAGATGAAGACTCAAAGATCACTTTGACTTAGTCAAGAACTTTGGATCCCAAGCGTATAAAATTTATTTTCGTATAGCCCCTTCGGATTTTTGTAGTACTTGCATATACATAAGTTCGACAAAATGATTATATTATTAGTATTAGGTGCCATTTATCATTATACATACTAATACATGGTATTAGTATGTGCGTAGTATATTGATTATCACGTAATACAAATTTAATTTATAATGAGTTTATATTAATATGTTATTATCGTTATGTATAATGGATGGGGTAGGTCTATTACCGTATTCTTCCGAAATAAGCAACACTTTTTGTTGTTTATTTTCGGGTAGTTTAATAAATGAAAGGAATTCTCACAGAATTATGTGATTTCTGTCGATAGAATTTCATCTGCATTTATCACGCAATACGCGAAACAGAGTTCAAAACTATTCTTCTTCTATACAAATGACAAAACAAAGAGTTGCTAATACTATTAAACGTAAGACCCAATTTGTAAAACGAACGCAAGTCTTAGTGATGTATGTTTATGGGTGAAACGTTCATAGTAATAGGAGGATATTTCTACCGATATGATTTAAAACGTGTAATATTTCAAACGATTTGGACTCTATGATGTCAGCGACAATGATGATGTTAATGATGATCATGATGACGATAATACCGCTGACTCCGTCATTGATATCATTGACATCATTGATGAGACGGATTAATCATCTTCTTTATTGTAATAATAATAAAATAAGTAATCAATTGAATACATGTTGCTTATTTTTGGGTGTTGCTTATTTTTGGGTGTTGCTTATTTTCGGGTATTGCTTATTTATTATTTTCGGGTTTGCTTATTTTCGGAAGAATACGGTAATTGGATGAAATCGGGTGATAAATGGCACCCCCCTTTACTATTACATTACATAATTTTGATTGGTCCAAGTAGTTACACACTAATCATCTTATGCATCACCAAATTTTTATATATAACTACCAAATTTTTTTCCTATGTTTCCTTGGTTCTCAATCCAGAGACAACATATTACTGAGAAAAATAAAGTGCCATATCGCCAATAATGACTACGACTACTTTAACTTTAACCTGCCTACTCTTAGGTGACCATCCTGATAAGAATTTCGAAGTCCAAGTTCCAAAAAATATGATCATTTCCAATCTGAAAAGAACATTGCAGAGTGATGCTAACTTAAGTGACACGTTTGAGGATGTTCCTCCAAAAGATATTGAGGTCTGGAAAGTCGAAATTTCCACCACAAAAAAAGGTCATGAATTCGAAACCCTAGTCACACTTTGTGACATACCAGCACCTTGCACCGATATTGAAAAAGAACTTGGGGGAGTTTTATTACGCCAAGGGAATTCTAAAATTACGGAATATTTTTCAAGCCAGCCTCCTGATGATGAGATCAATATTATTGTCAAACGCCCATCTGGTAAGTAATACTACTATGTTTCTTGCTAGCATCAATATATGTCTCTTTAAACTTGCCATTCAAATATGATAAAAACAACTTGCAATGGTATTTTTCTCATTACCATGTTTCTTTATTCTCTTCTCACGGTTCATCCTACTAATTCTCTCTTTCCTTGCCCTTGGGTATTACGCTCTGTTCTTTGATTTTTCTGGTTATATATTGCTATAGAAAAAAGCTTCTACATACAAAGATATGATGAAGACGGGGATCCATTAATTGAATTCAAGAAATATACAATCACGAATACACAAAAAGAATTTCGATCATTATTAAAAGGTTATCATGCGCGCGCATTACGACCGTTATTCGGTGAACCTCAGTTGGTCACATCAGTCAATAAGATTATTGACAACCAAAAATACGCCACCGATTCTGACTACGTTGGAGCCCTTCAGCGGAGAAATACATGGTCACAGGTTAAAGATATTGCTATGGAAGACGAAACCATCAAAGCTATAAAGAATGCTTTGACCGAGCGTGAAAATTTCTCCGTAGAAATTTTCCAACATCGAACCATACAAAACTCAAAAGGGCAGCATCTTCAGGAATGGGATGGCGTTCTCATTTCAGATAATTATGTTTTTTTGTGCTTTGCGAAGCACAAAATGACCGAAGTGAGTATATATTTCGTTTGTTTTTGTTATTGGCGAGCCATCTTTATTAACTGAGATATTTTTTAGCAATATATATACGATCTCGTTCAAAGATTGTCGAATTTTTATTCGAAAGTTAAGGAGGCTGATGATGATAATTTCAAACCGCTATTGAAAAAGAGACCAATAGGTGTCGCATGTGGTGTGTAAACGGCTTCAAAATAATGTTAGTAATTCTGAAGTTCCGTGGGCGACTTAACATTTATTAACTAAAAGTCAATTCAAGTCTTTATTGATATGTAAACTAATGTTCTTTTATACTACTTAATTCTATGACGATATTTGATATACTGTAACTATGACGATATAATATATATATACGAATAATGACGATATAATATATATATACAAATAATGACTATATATTTGCTAACTATGATATAAGCAATATGATGTAACTTTATTATTACATCGTCATCATATTGTGAATTGTTACATTGTGTCTATTTCTCAGAGGGAATTCGAACCTTTGCAAAGAGCAAAGGACTGATAGTGGTATATCCAGGTGGAGGGCGTTATGTGGTCGAGATATCTGAAGATACTTTGATTTCGAAATTGAAACATAAGAAATTAGTGAAACCTTCATTAACACTTCCTTAACTCGCAAAAAGTTGGTCGTTTCCCAAACGCATAAGGAAAATCGTTAAGCGGTTTATGCTGATAATCATTATTACGTATATTTGAAGAGCTTAGCAAATCTATTAGAGTCGAGTCTATAGGAGTGAAGGAATTACTGTGGCCTCAAATAATTTATATAAAAACAAATTGTTAGTATTTGTTACCTATGAAGGCAAATACAAAGACAAATAACCAAGATTCTGTTGTGTTGAATTGAACTACCCGATTCCGAGTTAACCAATCTCACATTGCAAGATAAACTCTTCGCAACTCGAGATGTAGTATATTATTGGTCTGCACCACTAAAGAGTTATAGGCCACCTAATTCGTAAGAGATTAACTATACGTCTCAAAAAAATACGGTAAATGCCCAGTGGCCTGCAAACCTACTTTTCCCGACTAAAGATGTGGACATAACAATAAGCCGTACAACTCCTCGAATTCTGAAATTAGCTAGAGTGATTCTTTCAAGGCGACTTAGCATCCCTCGTCAATATGTCGCAACAGTCAACTCTTAGACTTTTGGAAAGGTCAAAACCTCTTCTCGACAGCTTTGTTGCCTATGCCTCTCCCTACAACATGTCGTGGTGAATATCATGATGAAACAACGTTGCTAACGGCGAAGTCAAAGTTGTATTCCTTGCAAGATTTGGAACGCAAAACTTTTTACAATCAGCAAATTAACATTACATCATGCATAAAAAGTTGTATGGCCTTCTGTGGTGCGCCAGATAGGAGCAATCAAATCTTCAGACTAAAAGGAAAAATAGATCTCATTCAACGATAATAATATTAATGAAGTTAGTGGTGATGATACCGATGATGGAATAAATTAAATAGTTCTGGTAGAGCCAAAGTAAAGGGACGTATAATAATGGTCTAGGGTAGGCCATATGTTCTCTCCCTTGCAACTCTACCGTAAGAAACAATATTATTTATTATTATCCATATACAAAGTGAAACACGATAAGCCGAAGTCACGCTAAGCCGAAATTGCACTAAGCCTGATTTCCCATTTACTATAGACTAAGCCGAAATTAATTAGTAAATTCGTGTTAAACGATAAGCCGTAGATTTTTGGCTAACCGATTATGACAATTTTATCTCGACGTACCGAAGTAATCATGTGAATTTATCTTGATTGGTTAATTTTAAATCCCATGATCGAAATCAGAAATTCTTTTCACATGCCGTAACAATCGCTTGATTTGTTCATAGGACGATCCATTTCGTGCGCGTGGAGAATATATTTTTACGGGGAAAGTTTCAATTAACTCTTTCATGTGATTAATATTTCAGAATGAACGATCGTGGAGAAAGTTCAACAAGCTGCTCTTCAAATGTTATGTCATTTTTAAACGACTCCAGAAATAAAACAGTAAAGAAAAAAGTAAACCGAAAGATGCTACTGGTCTGAAAAACAATCTCTTTGTATTAAAGCGCAAAAACATCTCAATCTTACGTTGGAATAAAACCCGACATTGTTCATGATGTTCTTGCAGAAGAAGACATTTGCATTTTATCATAATAAAGTTTATATATGTTGTTACAAGCCGAAAGCTTGTGTAAACTATATATAAATTCGGCTTATTGCGAAATTTGATAAAACAAAAATTTCGATAAGCCGAATAAATTGTCTATTACGCTTGATTAAATCATTAAATAAAATGAATCATTCAAATTATTATTTTTTAAACCATATTGTGTAAGACACATAGTTATGCGACTATATAAATTATGCATTTATTTGTGCGATTAACCAAATTTAATTAATTACCTCACGTATATTCATTTTTGTTATTTCTAAGTTAATGAAAGTGTCGTTATGCCACAGAATAAAAATCGAAGGTCATGGAACTTTTCATGCATGATGTAATCGTGTGTTGAGGTATTAATTAATTAGTTCTTCTACTGATGTCTCTTTTAGTTGTTGCTGCTAATGCTGTTTATTGTTGTTTTTACTGTTCTTTACGAATAAGGCACCTTACTCTAATCTTCTGATTCTGTTAGACGGTCATGAAATGTCTCACCACATGGATATTATAGAAACAAGCAGACAACTCTCACATCAGATTATGCCGATACATTGTAGGTTGATATACTGCATACAAATTAGTGGGAGACGAAATGGGGTGTTCCAAAATGCAATCTTGAGGATGTGTCATCAGAAGAGGCTATGTCAATTCCCAACACCACTTACTCTGTGGCGTCAATTGTACTAATACCAATTTAGACTAGTGTCGGGAATTTTGAGAATGTCCAAATGTAACCCGGTCATGCCATACGATAACCTGCTTGATCTTTGTGTAGAGAGAAATGTCTGTCAATAATCGAAACACAAATTATGCCTGACTCTAGCATACGAAACTAATGTCAATCTATTGCATTCCATCGTGGGCAAATTGCTATTACGTTATGAAATAAACGAGGTCAATGACATAAAGTTTTTAGTATTCGTTTAACCCGAATATTGTATGTTGGTTAGACAAATGTTAATATACAATCTAACGATAAGTACGATTACAGTTCCCAGGTTAGAACTTATACTATCGTCTAAAGAAATTATATTATCGTCTAACCGTAAATGTTGAAGGGGCATATGATTAAAATAAGATTAAAATACAAAGATAAAATACATAATGCACCAATAATTTCAATCATCGTACAATCAGATCAACAAGAATATCTAACCGTAAATTGCTAACAAGATCGCGTTCGACCAATACTTCAACGCATATCTTTTATACAACAAGCGTAACCGTAAATTACTGACAAGATCGCATTTGGTAATCACCAATCGTGTGAATGAACAAGTAAAATAGACCGTATGATGTGTTCGAAAACCAATAATTGAACGCATGTCATCGTAGGACACGTTGTGCGTTTTCGTTTGTTAGAATTATAAGCCACAGCACATCTTGAATTCAATTACAAGACGACAGACTTATTACGTTTAGGATGAGAATTTTTAACTATATATTATGAAACAAAACCTATTATAATAAGCTAAAGTATAGCGGCAACAAATATATTCCAAATCAATTTTGTAACATAATCTTACACTGGAAATTAAGTAGCGGATACATTTGTGAGAAAATGTAATAACATCAGGTCAGATCGCGTCTGTTACAACTGTATATCTTACGATAATATTAATTATAATGGCCACTATTATAGAATGTATCTCTTTGTTGTGATGTTATGATATTAATATCAGGAGCCATTAGTAGTACTATATGGTACAGTGAAGTTGATATAACGGTTCGTTAGAAAAACGGATTTCGCTTTATGTTAAATTTATTTTATTGTTTTCTTTTCGATGAACGGAACATAAATAGGCATTACATTGTTCACTATACCAGAATTATAACGGAGTCTGCAATAGTTCATAGTAAGTAGAACCGCCGAATCTGTTATTATAGCACAAACTTATCCGTCAATGAATAAAAATTAAATTAATCTTTTTTTCTTGTTAATATTACATATTATTGGGGAAGACAATAATTTCATTAACGGCCTTAAAGAGAAAGAATTTGCAAATGTCCTCTAAGTTTCAGACATTCTTAAGACAGAAATTAATGACAGCGAAACATCAACAGCCAACATTAAAGAATACGTATTGTAACGTATGAAAACATAGATCAAAATTTTTTTCTAATTATTGAAGAATACATCAATATATCGGATTGTCGATAAAAATGGACTGTCATGATATAACAGATTTGTGCTTGCCAGCACAATATGTAAAGATAAAAATTATAATCTTCTGCAATACGTTGTTTAATATTTGGAGATAGTTGAAACTATTACTATGAAAGTACCACATCGAATAGTCACTAACGTCCGAATTCTATCTTCACAAGGTAGACATGGGAAATTTTCGTTTCTGCATAACTCCCGTCGCGGTAAATCTAATGTACATGGTCGACTTCTTGTTAAATAAATAATTGGAGTTTAGATACATAAAGCGCAGTGCGAAATATGGCTTGGCTGAACGAGCTAAAATATTAGCTGCTGAATTATCATTCTAATCATTGCGCATTTAACAACCATTACGGAATTCTGACGTAAAATTTCCGATACTGCTCATGCACCGCGTCCGTACCCAGCTATCGAAATGTGTGCTGGTTGTAGACATCTTTTAGTATTTCATGAGGTATGCATCGCTCAATCAATTTTTTATTTTAAAAAACGGTAATTTTTTACAACTTCCTTCTTATAGACATCACCTTCCTACCCAGACATACAGCCGTCACCTTTACATTCTTTTCACAACCACCCTACCTACCATTCCCCTACCTTTTCAATCCGTCTATTCACATTCGCTAATCTTTCTATTCTGAACGTCGCATTTCCCAACTTTAATCCGTCTATTCCGAACGTCGCACTAACCGCCTATTCCGAACGCCGCCGCATTCCCCACTATTCAATCTGTTCCACCAAACCCATCTGCAGCCCCCCGTTGATCCATCGTCTCAAGCAATCCCTCGTTTCCAACCTCATGAGGTGTTGGAAGAATGCAGCGCAGCGAGACGGGGGAGGCGGAGACATCCGCTAAAATTCAAAGTTGTTATTGCCAGCAATGGGGTAGTGTGCGCAGGTACCGCAGCGGAGAATGTTACAGACGAGTGGCAATGAAATCACAATATCACCTTACGCTACCCGGAACCCATAGAAATTAGAATAAATCTACATTGGAACGGATGGGTGCTGTTAAAATGCAGGCAGTGTCAAACGTTTAAGTCGAACGACCAAAGAGTGGATATTTGAACGATCGAAGATTAAAAATAAATTTATTGGTTAATGTTTCAGAATGTTATCTAATTCTCTGTTCAAACAGCGCTCTTAATGCACGTGGTGAGCAAAAGTTGTTTGTTCGTTCGCCTTTGGTAATAACAACAACAACTATAATCGGTCAGTTACTATTACAACAACAACAGCAACAACAGCGACATGACGGCATCGTCATCGCCATCATCATCATTATCACTGCCACCACCACCAACTAGACGTTACTAAAATAGTAAAAATTATCCGTAAAAATTACGTGGCCCGATTATTTGTTTTATACCTGGTCGACAGAGTTACGACTTATCGCGATTTTATATGTGTCCCCGACTTATCGAAATTTTTTTAATTATTCAAAAAAGTGGCGAAAATTTTCGTCCTTAAGCCAAATCCGACGTATCGAGCGTCCGACTTATCGAGTTTCCCTAGTGTTTGACAATTAATGCGAAAAATTAGTTAGGAATCGAACAACCCGAACAGCGAATAAAAAAGACTTAGTAACATGTCTTGGTGATAGCCGATGAAAATGTACCTTATTATGTGAATTAATTATTAACAGTTAACACTATCTTTAAAACATTGTGTTGTACAACTCTGCTTGGCTTTTTCTACAACTACATCGGCCATCAGTACATGCCCCTTTGCAATTACATTTTACTCGACTTCTCGACGCAACTCTAACTACGCTTTGGCTTTTTGCCACCTTCCATAATGATATTGTTCGTTGCGTTGAGGAATATTATCTAATTTCTGAAAACTCAGCTGCTTCTGCTAAGTTTAATTCATTAAGCACCATAGGTGACATTCAAAATCGCAGAACCGATACTTCCCATTTGTTTCTCGATTATCCTACAAGGGAGTAACGATCTATCTACACCGTACCGATCGATATGTGGAATTGATATTGCCACTATACTCTTAGATATGAGTCGTTCGCGTATTTCCTTTCCGTTCAGCCGTCTCTCTCAATCTTGCATGTCAAGTTAATGAAACACTGCGTGGTTCATAAAATTAAGTATTTATATATAGGAGTTGCATAAAAACCAAGAATAAACAAATCAATAAGCACCTTTTCACTATGGCTTGCCTCGGCTTCATCATCACCGGTAAGTTGGTAGCCTTGTTCGCAAAAATTTAACATTACATTAATATAACGTAATAAAATGGTGCTTAGCCAAAAATGCTATAGGGTTAATTACCAGGTTCGATATTAATTCAACAAGATTTATCCATCTTCGAAACTTCTCTTTCCACGTTCCGAAAGCTTTTTGTATTTCGTTTAGACTAACTTCCTCGGGAAAGTCATCTCGTACACCGAAGTAACAAATCCACATGCTTCTAAGCTGATTCCATGGAATTGCATACTCAGTACAGGAAAGATGTCAGTCTCTGTAATTTCGTTTTTTGATTTATTCACTTGTCTGGGAACACGACGGTCTTTTTTTGTTTCTGAAAAATGAATTTTACATAAAAAAATTAGTTAAAGTTCTGATATACAACATTACAGCATTAGGTGGTGATTACAATTGACGTCGATACCTTTGTTTAATTTACGAGCGCTTCTAATTTCGCCATATCGCTTTGCTAGCGTTCCACCCTGGTTATCCATCTTTGCATCAATTCGTTAAAGCCTTCATGCGTCTCATAGACTCTAATCTCATTTAATGCATTGAGAATATACTTCCTCGGTACGTCTGGTGGTTCGATTTGGTTGCCGAAAACGTTTACTAGCAGCTGCTGAAATTCATCCTAATTATATATATTCGCCGCTGCCAGATCCGTCGAAAAATATATCCAAAAACCAAAAAAAGACAAAATAAGAGATCATTAACAATAAAATCACAATTGTTAATTTTAAAAGCAAAACAAAACAATAAACAGAAAATTACCGCCGCTAATGTCATCTTCATTATCGGAAAAATTCCTGACAGATTGTTCACAAGTTCTCTAAAATTGATGTCAACTTCAAAATTATCGAAGATTCTCCTAAGAGGGAGCTATAACCAAGCCATCCTAAAAAGACGATTAACTCTCAGCAGTCCATTACCTCTAAGTGTCCTTAAATATCGGCATCGCATCGATTCTCGGGATCAAGACAAACTTTGAGCAGACACTTCTTACCATTGGCTTAATGTGATTCAAAGTGTCGTTCACTTGTACCGTCTTCACACGAGACTCCACATATTCAATCAATCATCACCAAATCATAATTCGAAAAGACGTCAGAGTGTCTCGGTCGATCGTACGATAATCAACCGTCTTGCAGAAATTGCCGGACGGTCCCGTTCAGCAAGATTAATATGTAAAAGCCGAGCTTGCCGAGAATATTCGATGTAATAGGATAAGTTTGACTATATCCTTACTGATCTTCGACTTGCATTTCGTTTGTCGCTAGAAGTTCAAAACCGCTTTCCTATTCCAATTACAAATAATAAGTCACAAAAAATTATAAGCTCAGCGAAAGTAATGATGATTTTGGTAGAGAAAATAAATTCGATGCTATATATGTATAAAACACTTTCACCTCACTTCTCCTTTTCCTCCTATTACCTATCCCATCGCAGCCTGTTCTTTGCCTTTCTCTGCTCCACATCAAAATAATTCGAACCATATTTCGAGATCTTAAAAATTATGGATCCGTTTTCAGTTTTATTGGCCAGTTTTTTGATGGTCAGCATAAAGAATTACATACCTCATCCACCGCCGCTCCCTCTTTCCATATTTCAACCTTTTTAATAGCTACAATTTTCACTCCAACGACTCCATGAACACCCATCAACGAACCAAGCGAAACAACCAATCGTAACAATTCTTTTTACAATGACGTCCCAGACAGTATTGCCAGCGATAAACCAATATCTCCACTACAGTACTAATAGTCATTTCATCAACGTTTGAAAATAGTTCGAGGTAAATGTCCCAAGCGGCGCATTGATCATAATCATAATCCAAAGTTCGCCGAAATGGCAATATAAACTATTCTACAAACCTGCCGCATCAAGTGATAAAAGTAATAGGCCAAAAGAAAGTGACATGATGAAACCCCAACAAAGCCGACATACTCACGAGATTTTCCTCTATGCGCGATTTCAGAATCCATAGACAAAAGCGCCAGAGTAATTGGAAACCAGATTGCATTGATTGACTTTCGAATTCCCGCTCCTGGCTCAGCGAGTTGTACTTGGCATCTTCTCGACCACTTGGTTGCATCAACTACATGTCTGAATTGTAAGCCTCCTTTTTATGCGCAACCGACTGTGCCGCAATTCGTCATCGTTCACGGGAAGTAATCGTTGTCGTGTCTGCCCAAAATTAGAATTAAATCCTATTGACGTTAAGTTATATAAGCAAAAGTGTCAAAAATGTAATGTGAGATTATGTTGAAAATGGATGATGTAATGACGAGAATAGCGAACAACTAAACGCAAATATAGAGACTCACTCGTCAGCCCCTGGTCGGCTTTACCCTGAAGTACAGTTTGCCACTTATATGCTTTGCGATTGCGACTGTCGTATTGCTATTTCGGTTCGCGGATCAAGAACAATCGAGTCAGAATTCTTGGTTTCGAACGTTCGCGTGCAAATAAAACATTACCCTTTTACTTTTTAACTCGCTGACAAACCATAGTGCATCCCCCCAACAAAGTCGGTAATACCCATCAAGTAAACGAAAACATCTTAAGACACGAGTCACGTTCCAGCTTCACATCCACGTTAAAGTAATAACTATCTCTGGTTCTGCTAACCTTGCCAGTGTCCTCCTTTTTGAAGTCGTACTTGGTGATATCCTTTACGTGGGTAATGGTTACCAGAACAGACAAGATATAGTACTGATATTTTCAAGTTCTGTAATTTCGATCAAACCCACTAACGTAACGCCCTCTGTTGTGTAATAGCCAATTGATATTTACATTACATGCTGCTAAATATTTTGCGAAGCTTTCTCGTTTATCAACAAGACTAGGTCGTCTGCAAACAGAAACCGCAAATGGCTACTGGAAGATATTTTAATCCAATAGCTTGATGAAGTTAACGTAGATGTACATATATATCACACCAATGCAAATATCATGACACAACGATTTTGAACCAATAGGAAATAAGCAATAAACTCCGTAGCGTCGTCGGAATGTCGATTGTATTATCAACGGAAGTGACAAACTGACAACTCTGCACAATGGCATATGAGGTATAGTAAAGCAAGCATATTGAAGCGTTAAAGTATTCCACTAGCTTATTTGTTAATTATTTATTACATGTTACTTTATAGGAAACTGGAAACTCAATTCTCCCTTCAACGAGTTCTAGCTCGACCACCGACTATGTACCAGACAATTCTCTCACAAGTGCTCCTAGCATTTCGGGCAGTTTTCCCAAAGTCATACTTCAATTAGTGGAACAAGGACTTACGTCAACAGATGAGCAAATAGAGGAGTTGTTGGCTGGCTTGAAATATTCTCGGAATATCTACGCACTCAAATACATCCTCGAACATAAAGGAGATTCTGTGTCAGTGGATATGCTACACACAGCTGTAAAGAGTCTATGTTCTCAAGAGTTTGATGAAGTGTTCTCAGAAGAAACAACTATTAAATTAGAATGGAAATTACGAATTATTACAATAATACTGAACTTGATGTGTCAAAGAAAGTGTCAATTCACACGTTCTTTTCTTGATGGTATTAGAGAAGCTACTTCTATGCATAAGAATGTATATTCAAAAATTATGCAGCATGGGGGAGAAACTTGGAAACCTAAGTATGCAGGATCTAATGACTCGGACATAACCATCAAAAGCTTTAAACACAATTACAATTGCCAATTTCTTCTGAAAATCATTAAGAACACATTAAATGCTGTTTCTGATGAGAAAAACCAATACCAGACAACCATTGATCGAGCCATTGCAGCATTAAAGTCTGTACTTGTTGCTGTTCCTGGATTAGCAAAAATCGGGATTAAAGCTTATGCAGGAGTTGAAGTTCCTCTTGGTGATTTTGACATTGAAAGATCTTGGGAGTATTTCAAAGAAGCCTTTTACATTGAATCATCAGGCAAGCCATGGTATGTAACCTGGAGACAACTTATGGTATTACAAGACAGTCTTGACCAATGGTGTGAGCAAGAGTCTGCCATTTCAATGAGCTTTAAGGAAAGGGTGCTTCTTGAATATTTCTGGTATCATATCAGTTTATGTTATGCTGAAAATGCAGCAGGGAATCAAGATGTCAGTGATGAGCTCTGGTTTGGCATTTTGGATACTATCCAGCAAGTTGTACAGAAAACATTTTCTGTGACCACACAAGCTATTTGTTATTACATAGCATTGGACTCATTGAATAATGCTATGACTGAATCTATTCAATTCAAGTCCATTGAAGTGTTACTGAGTCTTGAAGTGAAGAATAGTAAATTGTTTGTTACAACACCTGATGATATTTCTGGTTGTGATGAGAAATATATACCAAGACTGGTTAGTATATACTATTATCTAAAAGAGAAATTAAGGGTTGAATCAAAAATGATATTACAGTACTCACCAGATCAAATAGTGATGGGTGCTGAAAATACTGAACAACAAGGCAAAGGAAAAGGAAAAGATGTTGAGAAAAGTCCAATTGATTATATTGCAGAAGATCTAACATGTGCTATTACTTGTGAACCAGTTGGTGACTTTTATCAGCTTAACTGTTGTCGACATATTATTAGTTCAAAAGCTCTTTTGTCATTAAACCATCCTGAGTGTCCTTACTGCAGAAGTGAAATTAAAAAGGACAAAGTATATTATTTGCCACAGCAGACCATATTCAGTTATGTTCAACATTATATTGCAGACACTGATTATGAAGACGTCTATAACACTAATAATGCTGGGACCAATGTGGATGCAAAAATATTTAATGAGCATGAAGATTTTAAAAAGCAAAAACGAAAGAGCAGAACAAACAGATATGATTCCGAGTCTATATTGGCTTCAATCTGGAAATCATTAACAGCACCAAATATAGACAAACTGTTTGAAAAAGCTCAAACAGCATATTGGAATAATAAGTTGGAAAAAGCATTGAGCATCTATACACAAATATTACAAGCTGAACCCACAAGTTATCAAGCTCTGTGTTATAGGGCAATGGTAAAGATAAAAATGAAAAACTTTGGAAAAGCACTGTTTGATATTGAGACAGCAATTGAAGTAAACAAAGTTTATTATGATGCCTGGTACTTAAGTTTAAGAGCACATGTAGGTCAGGGGAATAAGAAAGGAGCTGGACAAGATATTGGGCACATTATAAATATGCAGTCAATGGCATTTGATATTATTCATGAATATGTAAACAAACTTGAGCACTTTGATGTAGAATGGTTTAAAATTCTTGTGGATAGTTGTCCTTACAGAGCAATGTATGAATTAAATGATATTAATCAATGGCAATCACTGTGTAACCATCAGTATGGAACAGATGATTATACCAGATGGTACAACACTGCGGCATCTTGGTATATGGAGCATAACAATACTTGGCGTTATCATACGCATATAAACGCGTTTTTTGAAAAATTTTATTACATACACAAAAGTAAGGGGTTGGCAATGCAATGATTACATAATTATATATTATTATGCATACTAATTACATTATTATTAGGTCATTTGAAAGCACATTTCGCATATGAAAGTCATGTTGATGATATCATGAGATGTGACTAGTAAGTAATTATAGTGACTATTTTGTTATGCTGTATCACTACTAACATCTATCATTTAATAGTTACTATAATTACGGATATTTGTCCCTTTATGCAAATAATAAAGTAAGTGTATAATCATTATTATTTATCAACGTTTGTATACGTTGTGAATATTAACTAA